ATAGCAGCCTTCCAATATTTGAGGGGCTGCCACAGAGAGGAGGGGGTCAAGCTATTCTCCAAAGCACCATAGAATAAGTGCATAGAGTAAGAAAGTTGGAAGGGACCTTGTAGGTCCACCCCCTGCCCAAACAGGAGACCCTACACCATTTCTGACAGAGGCTTCTTGAAAGCCTCCAGTGATGAAGCTCCGATAACTTCTGAAGGCAACTTCTGTTCCATTGGGTTGACTGTTCTCACTGTCAGAAAATTCCTCCTTATTTCCAGGTTGAATCTCACCTTGTTCAGTTTCCATCCATTATTCCTTGTCTGGCCTTCGGGTGCTATGGAAAATAGCTTGACCCCTCTCCTCCTCTCTGTGGCAGCCCCTCAAATATTGGAAGGCTGCTATCCTGTCTCCCCTGGTCCTTCTCTTCACTAGACTAGCCATGCCCAGTTCCTGCAACCGTTCATTGTATGTTTCAGCCTCCAGTCCCCTCATCATATCCTGGTTGACCTTCTCTGCACTCTTTCCAGAGTCTCCACATCTTTTTTATAGTGTGGTGACCAAAACTGGATGCAGGATTCCAGGTGTGGCCTTACTAAGCAATGGATGGAAACTGATCAAGGAGAGAAGCAACTTGGAATTAAGGAGGAATTTCTTGAACTGGCCTCCAGAAGTTGTGGGTGTTCCAACATTGGAGGTTTTAAAAAATGGATAACCATTAGTCCAGGATGTCTCCTCTAGTCCAGGATGGTCTAGGTTCTCCTGTGCAAGCAGGGGTTAGACTAGAAGACCTCCAAGGTCCTTTCCAACTCTGCGTTCTGCAACTAGCTGAGGAGACACCCTAGATCCTGGGATAGGGACCTTCTAAACTGCCCCCAAAGGGAACTCCTGGAGATTGATTAAACCTGAATCACGATATAAAAGCTAGGGAGGAATCAGTGCGCTGGGGGTGCTTTTAAGATTGGCTAGAAAAGGAATATGAATAAAAGAATAGAGGGCAAATAATTAGAACAAAGAAAAAGAGAAATAGAAAACCAGAAAATACACTACCAAATGAAGGAGGGGGGAAATAAAAAGGTATTAATAGACAAATATATGCTTAAAGGATGGTGTAACTATTAAAATGAAAATAAATTGTGGAAGAGGGAATTTAAGATAGTTATGTAAATACAGAACCAAGCTTGCTAGAATACCATCTCGAAAATACACCAGATTGAAGAGGAAAATATCTAAACTCAACAACGGAAAGAGGGAATGGAGAGAGGAGGAGAGGGAAAGATAGGAAGAGGAGAGGAGAGAGAAAGAAGGAAGGGAAAAGGAGAGGAAGAAATGGAGGGGCAATAAGAGCAGGAGAGAGGGTAGGAAGAAGAGAGGAGGAGTGGGGGAGAGGAAGGGGAAGCAGAGAAGGGAAAGGAGAGGAGGAAAGGAGAGAAGAACGGAGGGAAGGAAGGGAGAAGATGTAGTGTTGTTGCAAAACAAGATGGGCGTAAGGGATGGTACTAGAAAAACAATCTCGATTATACTGTTCATTGCAGGGGGAGGGAAATTGTTATAAATGTTAAAAGATAACCCACATTATTAATGAGGGTTATGAGATTGTATATTTGGGGATGGATGGATGAGAAATAAAAATTGAAAACTTTTTTTTTATAAAAACGGAATCGTGATGAGAAGATTGTGTGCAAGTTGGTTGGCTTGTTGACATCATGGAAGTAGAGTAAGAGGTTTTCCCTCCCCCTCCCTTTCATCTCCTTTGAAGCGTAAGTTGTCCTTTTGTCCCGGGATTTCAGCCTTCCAAGTCATTAGAGACTCTTTAATAACCCCTGATGTTTATTTGCTGGAGAATGAGCAAGCAGGCTCAGAGTCTTGAGTAATAGCAAGAAAATGATTTACAAGAAGGCCGGTTTACAATGAAAACAAACGTAGGCAATCCTCCTATTTTCTCTCTCTCTCCCTCCCCCCCCCAAAAAAAATAATTTTACAAATTATTCTGAAATAAGTTTGTCTGAAGGGCTCTACCAAAAATCCAGACAGGGAGCAGTCTGGTTCGGAAGGTAGATGATGATTTCATATTTGAGAAGGAGATCGAAAAATGCGGTTTTTGGATATAGCAATAGCCCTTGGACTTATATACCGCTCCTCACAGCGCTTTTACAGCCCTCTCTAAGCGGTTTACAAGGTCAGCCTATTTGCCTCCAACAATCTGGGTCCTCATTTTACCCACCTCGGAAAGATGGAAGGCTGAGTCAACCTTGAGCTGGTCAGGATCGAACTGATGGCAGTCGGCAGAGTTTGCCTGCAATACTGTATTCTAACCACTGTGCCACCAAGGCCCTTCCTTCCTTCCTNAGGAGGAGAAACTTAGATCATCACTTGTTCTAAGGAGGAGGAGGAAGAGGAGGAAGGAGGAGGAGGAGAAGCTTAGAACATCATTGGTTCTAAGGAGGAGGAGGAGGAAGAGGAGGAAGAAGGAGGAGGAGGAGCTTAGAACATCATTTGTTCTAAGGAGGGGGAGGACAACCCGGGTCTGTAATACAATCTTCCTCCTTAATCCTAGACTTCACCGAGCATCAAAATCCTGCAGTACCTTGGCTTTGTAATGCTACCCTTCATATTTCTCCCTTCTTCAAATCCCCCATGCCCCTCCCGAAAGTGGATTCTGCCCCCTTCCCATCGTTCCCCCTCCTCTTTACCTTTGGGCAGGATGAAGAGAAACCTCCGCTTCTCAAACATGTAGACTTCACTGAGGTTGGCCTGCTCCACCACGTTGGTGGTGGCTGTGTTGGTGTGAAGCACTTCTCCGTCGTTCACCCGCAGCTGCACCCCAGCTCCCGAGCCCTCCACCAGTGGATTTTCTGCGGTCAACCGCAGGACGTACTTCCCGAGTTCATTAAATTGCACGCTCTCCAGCTGGAAGTCAAAATCCAGGATCTTCTCCTCGGTCTTCAGGCGGGATTTCTGCAAGGTGGTCGGGACGCGGGGTTCCCCTCCTTTTCCAGCCATGGCCAGGAGTATCCCAGAGAAGGTCTCCAAAGAAGGATGGATATTTCGAACTAATAGTCAATGATTTCACCTGCCAGATTAGTAGCATGGTGTCTTCATTCCAAAGCGGAGATTGTGTGGAGTCAACGGTGCCATCAGTGAAGAGTTGTAGGGGTCTAACACAACCTTGACCTCTGAGCAATTGGAATGGACCTTCCGTGGAAAGGGATTCATACAGACCTTAGCCCTGTCCAAATCAGCCCATAACAGTGTTTCCCAAAGATCAGGCCTTCTACTCACTTCTCCATGGGTGCGATGCTACTCATCAACTGGCTGCTCCTAAGGAACGTACTCAGACCGAAGACCGAGGGACAAAACTCATCCTTGAATGGGATTTAAACTTTGGAGAATCTGCTCAAGAGTCCAGAAAACAAGTCTCAAAGGAAGAAAAGTGACCAGGTGTGTGGAAGGAAACGAAAGTTGTGCTGTTCCTTTCATTTGTTTGCACGGAGCCATGGCAACGTGACACAAAGGGTTGCATGCCCTGGGATAAACAAGGCCAAGCTTGAACCTTTTTCCCTAACAGGACCAAAAGGTGGAAGGAGGGAGAAATGTCCCCTGTGCAAATCTCTGCCCCAGAGATTGGACTGAAAGGGATCTCGAAATGGATTGCTTTGATTTATCGATTCTTTTAGAAAATTACCCAATGGGATAATACGCAGCTTTCTGCAAAATGCAAAACGGATTTCATTTCACAAGTGAGAAACTTTCTCCACATCCTCCGCACCCGTTTCTCAACTTTGGCAACTTTAAGATTGGGTGGGAGTTGAAGTTCAACCTGTCTTAAAGTTGTCAGGACTGAGGGACAGGTCTGATCCTGCTGGCAATTAGATATTTATTGACCGGGTGTTTGACCTCGGGAAAATTCAACGGAGGAGGAGAATTAGGAGGCTGGAACTTTCTAGCAGAACTTCTCAAAGTCCAACTTTGAGATGTTGTTTCTTTTAGATGCTGCAACGTCCTATCTACGTGTCAACGACGGCTTCAGCTTCAACCGCAATAATACACAGGAAAACAATCGATACAAACTCAGGTAAGGTAAAGCTCTCCAAACTCGATTGCAGAAAATACGACGTCAACAACAGAGTGGTCAACACCTGGAATGCTCTACCTGACTCTGTTGTTACATCCTCAAACCCCCATACTTTCAATCTTAAACTGTCTACCGCGGGCCTCACCCCATGCCTAAGAGGTTCGTAAAGGGGGTGTGCATAAGGGCACCAGCGTGCCTATCATCCCTGTCCTACTGTCCCCATTTATTTCTACCAGTGGTGAAATTCAATTTTTTTTTACTACCGGTTCTGTGGGTGTGACTTGGGGTGTGTGGTGTGGCTTGGTGGGTGTGGCAGGGGAAGGATGCTGCAAAATCCCCATTCCCTCCTTACTCCAGGGGAAGGATACTGCAAAATCTCCTTTCCCTCCCCACTCCAGGGGAAGGATACTGCAAAATCTCCATTCCCTCCCCACTCCAGGGGAAGGATATTGTAAAATCTCCATTCCCTGCCCACTCCAGGGAAAGGATACTGCAAAATTCCCATTCCCACCCCACTCCAGGGCAAGGACTGCAAAATCCCCATTCCTTCCCCACTCCAGGGGAAGGATACTGCAAAATCTCCTTTCCCACCCCACTCCAGGGGAAGGATACTGCAAAATCTCCATTCCCTCCCCACTCCAGGGGAAGGATACTGTAAAATCCCTCTTCCCACCCCACTCCAGGGCAAGGACTGCAAAATCTCCATTCTTTCCCCACTCTGGGACAAGCCAGAGGTGGCATCTGCAGATTCTCTGAACTACTCAAAGTTTCTGCTACTGGTTCTCCAGGACATGTGAGAACCTGCTGGATTTCACCCCTGAGCACATTTCCTGTGTTCGTGTCCATGCTTATGATTATACCTGTTATCTCGTACATGTTCGACATACTAAATATAATTGAAGAAGGGGTAAGAAGACTTGAGGAGGGGAGAGCGGGGGTAAACCTTCCATTTGACTGAGGTCCAACACTTGGCTAGATAAATCCCCCCCCCCTCCTCCCTTCCCGCCAGGCGGGTTGTTTTCAATTTCTGAGCCCCAGGCTGGCCCCAAGCCAATCCCTCTTAACCGTAGAGGGGCTAAAGTTCCTCGGGACGGGTTGAAGAAACTCTCCTCTCTCTCTCTACTTGTGAGTTCAACTTTACCTTTAAGTTCTAACTGCTGGTTCACCTCTGGAATCTTCCAATTGGATTTGGGGAAGTCCCGGAGGGGCAGCTGGGATTTTCAAAGTGGGTTTCTCACCCCTAGACCATTAGGTCTTAGGAGAGCATCTCAGGAGGGATCTCTCCCCTGGGTGTCTGGAGGCCGTTGGTACAATTGTCCAAGAAAAAGATCAGAATCTGATGCTTATATCTTTGGACAACCTGCACAGTTTGAATCAATTTTTGTGTGTGTCTACCTGTCGTGGAGAAGGATTTGGATATCTGTCTGGAGCCCAGCTTGCTCAGGATTCGGAAATCTTATCCGGCTCAAGGTAACGTTCTACTTTTCCAAGCTTCCTTCTTCCTCTCTTGTTGCGTTTTCTATGTCAATAAACCTTTGGCCCTGCTAATTGCTGAACAAGTTCCCTTTTGGGGAGAAAAAAAATACGAATTCTTAAAGAAGGATCGCAACCTTGACCCAAACCATGCCATGGTTGAGCTTGCATTTATTTTTATTTTTATTTTTTTGCCCCAAAAAGAAAATTTCTAAAGGGAAAAGCCACGTTATTCGAGGTGAGTCAAACGATAAAAGAAGCATGTATTTTTTTCCCCTCTCCTCCTCTATTAGAATTAAAAATTAGATTTTTTTTCCCCTTTGTGAATTCAAAAGAAGAAACCATTTCGAGCTCTTAATAAGAAAGTCTTTTTCTTCTTCTTGGGAAATCAATCAATCAATCAATCAGGGATCATATCTTCTCCCTCCCAAGGTTTTCTTAGCAACGCAGTTCTTAACAAGAAGAAAGGTGGCAATTGTATAGTGTGGGTTTTTTTCCCCTCTCCCTCCTTCCACCAAGTCTGTGTTCTTTAAAAAAAAAAGAACATTATTACAAGAGAGTCCTTACCTTGTCAATTCCCAGCCTATTTCTCTCCGTTTAATAGAGGCGCTTATGTTAAATCTACAAGCAGTTGAAAAAAAACGGATGCGTTGTTTCCTTTCATTTTATACTATGCCACTTTTACAGAATTTTTCTTTTCCTTTTTTTGCTTAGCCTGCATTGTTGTCTCGGTAGGATTTTTTAAAAAAAATACAAATGCTTTGGAAGGGCCCAGGAAAGCCGGGCTTACAACCAAGGAGGTGAAAAAGGTATTTCATCAAGAGGCATTATAAAAATAAATGGGAAAAAAAAACACCCCTTAATCACCCTGATTTCACAGCAAACGAGGCATCTAATCGCGACACGGCGTCGATGGCTTTTTCCTTTTTAATAAAAAGGACAATTTATGGCCCCCCCCTCCAGGTCACATTGGCTCCCTGGTTAGAAGTGAATTATACAGGGGTCTTTTAAACACACACACACACACACACACACACACACACACACACACTCCATCTCGGCTCTGAAACTCTGCAAATCGATCGAGGTGTTTTTTGTTTTTTTTAATAGCTCTTTTTAAGAAATGATAAATGGAAGTCAGGGCCAGGCGCCAGGTTCCCATCCAAAGTTTGCCACTGGATTGAGACGACCCGAGATTGACGGTTTGAGCGTCGCCTCTCCAAAAAGGAAAGCTTGAATCTTGGCTAGTTGTTTTTGCGAGAGATTTGTGGAGGTCCCATACTTCTTCCCTGCCCCCATGGTCCAACCTCACGCTTCCTCAGCCTTCGCTTTCCCCTCCCGATCGGATTACACTTGTGATGACTGCGGCTTT